CAGGGGTGGAACTGGATGAGCTTTAAGGTCCTTTCTGACCCAAACCATTCTGGGACTGTAAATGTAAGAAGTTTGAGCTTGGCAGGGACACAGAATTCATGAGGGTTCCAGTCTTTTCTTGGGTATGTGCAGATGTCACTCACCTCTGAGCTTGCTCTGGTTGTCAGCCTTGGCAGAATAAGCTCATTTATGTGTACAAAACAACCAAAACAACCTACAGCATGCAGGTGGACTGTATTTCTCAAAATTAATAAGTAAGGTGTGGGATGTGCAAGAAGATAAATATCAGATCTCTGCCTCTTATTATGAAGCATAACTTTTTTTTTTTTTTTTTTTTTTTTTTTTTTTTTTTGTTAGGAAAGGCTGCAGAGCCTTTTCTGGGAGGCAGAGCATTTCTGGAAGTGTCTCAGTTTTTTACAGGGAATTTAAGAGAATCTTTCTCAAAGTTAGTTTGTATTGGAAAAGGCAAATGTGCTTTAAGGCAGAAATAGGTTGCAGTGGGGACTCTGGGACTCTGCAACATTGTGGTGCTGTGTCTGAGAGTTATTTAAAATATCTTGAATTACCTTTCTGAAAAACAGGCTGTGCTGCATTGTACAAAATGCCAGGCATAAAGGTTTCAGGTTTAATTTTATAGGAAATACAGTTTTCATCAATTAGACTTGTGCAGTCCCTTATAACTCTTATGTTACCATATGTTGATGTTTGATTTATGGTTCCCTTGGGTGTGCTATGGATACTCTGCTTTTATTTTGGTTTTGCTAATGTTAGCACTCAAGAGTGTACACTAATGATTCGAACTGCATAGTCGGCAAAAAGATACAATGTTAGTATTTAATTGTATGACTGCTATGTAGAAACTATTGCTAACATTTTGTTGCAGGATGGAGATCCCAAAGCTTTAAATTATAAAGGCTTCTTTCAGCAGCTTGTTAAGAGCTGGTATCCATAACTGAACATCTGGTTGTTATCAGTGCATTTTCACTTCATTAAAAACTATAAATGCATGTGGAGGAAAAATGAAATACTGTGATCTAGTTACATCACTCCTAAGTAGCACCCTGTGGTGCCAGTACAAGTTAGCTGATATTTCTATTACATTCCCTTATTTTCTCTAGTTATGGTTGTTTTAGGGTGCAGTCTTAGTTGTTTGGAAATGTTGACAATGTTGACAAAATTTAAATGTTGACAATGTTGACAAAATGTAAATGTTGACAAAGTTTTGACTCATTTAGGGATGCTCTCTGCATTTTATGGGAGCTTAAAAGTCAAATGTAGGAGGAAGAAAGGCAGTATAATTGATTAGAAAGCTCTACAAAGTAACTGCAGTGTAGGAAAAGTGCCATGTACAGATGATTAGATGTTTAGGCTTTCTTTTTTGCCAGTTGAGAGTAGCAAAGAGATTAAGAAATATTTTCTGTTCTAGCTAGGAGCGCTATATTTTAATTATTTTTGTTGCTTTCAAAAGAATAGGTCAGAGTAGTTCTTTGTAAAAGGAGACTGTTCAAGGAATTTTTATCAAGATTGCAGTAGCTCCATTATTTGGAAAACATGTGACTTTTGCAATTTTGGCAACTTTGTCTAATCATCAAAGACAAACTTCCATCTGTTGAAACTGAGGTTGAAGGTAGCAAAAATATCCAAACTGAGAGAGATTTGTGTTTCTTCACTTTGAAGAGCCTCTAAGTTTTAGACTATTGTGCTCTGTTTAGGAGGGAGCTGATTCATATAAAGGGAGTTTTATTTGCTGCTGTACCTTGGGGTGGTAGGAGAACCTTTATCTATATCACATATTCTTACTCTGTTCTAGTTTAGTTTTTATTTTAGACTTAGATCAGTATTTTTCTGTGACCTGTTCTATCTGTTCACTAGGTGTGCTTTAATTTGTAATGAAATTCCTCACCTCAAAGCACGGTATCAGAGGTCTGTAGAGTTTTTTTGTACATTATTCTGTGTATCATATTCCTAATAATCTGCTTTCATATATGGTTTTCAGCCCTCTTTCCACCAAAGATGATGAGTGTTGAAAAACCTCTGTTTGCAGGGATTTGGGTCTCAACAGCAAAGACAGAGAGAGACTGTGGAGCAGGTTCACTTTCACTTAGGCTGCATCACTGATGTGATTCCTATGGTCTGGCTCTGTGTAGAACTCTCTGATGGTCTAATGTAGTTGTTTGGTCACCTGGGTCATCTCCTCTTGCCTGGAAGC